AGAAATATATTAAATATTAACTGAAAGAGGGGTTATGGAACTTTATATTATTAAAGTTTTTGTCTTTTATTTTTAAAAATGTATTAGTATTAGTATTTTTTAAAGTCTATTTTTCATTTATTTACTCATCTTGTTTTGGCGTTGTTGTTGTTGTTTTGTTTTGGCTTTATTGTGTTTTTGTTTTTGTTTTTGTTTTTTGTTTGTTTGTTTGTTTGTTTTTGGTTTGTTTGTTTGTTGTTGTTCTTTTGTTTTTGGGGGTTTTTTTTGGGGGGGGCGGGGGGTTTGTTACATTGCTTTGGAGTGCGAATCTGTAAAATGGTAGCTTAGTGTGCATGCTTCCTTGAAGCTGAGGATGTTTCAAAATGTCTGTTACGGTAATAATAGATTGCAAAGTCCATTGAGAATCCTTTGGAGTGAGAATAATGATTATCCGTTTATTATTATTATTATTATTATATTTTTTAACATTAACTTTTTTCGGTATTATCGTAGATCTAGTTGCACAGTTCGGTTCTGTATTAACATTTTTTTGGGGGTGTCGTTTACTAAAAAATATTAGTTTCCGAATTAGACGGACCGGACTATAAAATTACTGTAAAGACGAAGGGAAGAAATTTGTGTAGGGTGGGGGGGAGGGGGGAGTTTGCACGCAGTCTTGAATCACTATACTAATTATAATAACAATCTCAATGATAACGTCAATATATAAATGAAAATAATCGGCAATATTTTCATTATCTTAAATAAAAAAGTCCAAGCAATTGACTCCTACTCCAAAATTGATTCAAAGTGAAATGAGAAAGGCGTGTCAGAATTGTATCTGTACAATCTGGAAAATCTATTGTATATTTCTGGGGACATAAGACTCTTGATACGCACTTCGACTTTCTTGAAAACATTAAAGAGTGTAATTATTCCGAAGTGGAACAAATTAAAAACAATAATCTGACTCGTAATATTATTAGTAATCCCAAACAACGCTCTAAACTGCCAGGCAGCTTAACGTTTCCTTTTTTTTAAATATTGTAAAACACGTTAGTGTTTTTGTTTTAACGCTATCGTTATGCTTTTAACAACACGTTTTTGGCGTTAATGGGACCGTTGCCATTG